AAAGATATGAATCCTAATCTTCTCCCCCCCCCCAACCTATGGGTAAATAGCAAGAGAGACTGGGTTCTATAGATCTGGATGGCAACTGGTCTACCGCAGAAAGAACTGGCAACCTACTATGGGAAAAGATCTGCCTTGTCAGTCATGTATCAAAATCGCCTAAGCATGCATCATGTATGGCACATGACTGACTCATATTATAGAATATTACTTAGATCAAATGCAAGAAATTAATAAATAGAAAGGTTTTAAAAAATTGGAAAATACAAGAAAAAAAATTAAACAAATAGACCTTGTCAGTTGTATTTAATCAAAGTTATTTTGTGTGTGTGTGTGTGTATATATATATATATATATATATATATATACACATACAAATATATATATATAATTATTTAAGAATATGATTCCATCGCTACATAAGAGTTTTGAAACATGAGAACTCTTATGTAGCAATGGAATCATATTTTTAAATAAATAATTATATTTAGGCTCTACTTTTGTATCAGACACTGTTTTTTAAAAATAAAAACAAAAATACTAAAGAACTCCAGATTATTTACCTAACATGTTCTTTCCTATTTTTTTATATATTCACACACACACACACACACACACACACACACACACACACACACACACACACACGTGTGTATACATACACCAATGTTTTGAGCTACCCTCAGAATTTAATAATTTGTAAGTTTCACACCATCTTTCATTTAATTAATTCCTTCTAAGCTAGGATGCTGAAACTATTTGACAGATTAGTGCATGCCATCTAATTTTTTTGAGAGGTGTTTAATGTAAAATTTAAAATCTGCTAGCCCTAAGAGTACCACTAGTCAGAAAGGCAAAAAGAGCTAAATATTAAGAAAACTTTATGCAATAATGGATTAATTTTGTTGTTATTATTATTATTATTATTATTATTATTATTATTATTATAAGTGAATATATGATAAAAACCTTCCAGGATGAAACATCTATGAACTGGAGAGGATATCAAATAATAAATTGGGGCACTGGTGTCTGTAGCACCGAACTTAGTCTTACAGTAAAATAATCAGAATAATGCTTAGCATCACATTGCTTCAAAAATCTGCATACTTGGCACTGCAAATTTTCTACAAAATGTGCTGATTGAGGTTGTACATCTCACAACTAAAGAACTTTCTGGAGAATCCTCAAAGACTAAATTGGGAATACCAGGTGCTGTAAGTTTGGAGGTGCAGATGGTCTAATAGATAATGGCTCGGAATTTAATCAGATAGCTGAGTTCGAATTCCAGTTGGTTTTGTTATATTCATTTACATGGAAATGCCCTTGGGAAAGATATTAATCCCCCATCTTCCCCCCTCCCTAGCTATGTGTCAATTAATAAGACTTGTATCTTTAAAACCATTATTATCTTTGTCCCCACCCCCACATCTAAAAAAAAATACATGCAAATATTTAGATTTCTGCATTAAATAACCCATAATACAAAAACAACCAACCAAATTTTAGAGTGAATGATGGTAGTTTTCTAGAGGTCTGCAATCTTGGTCTCTGTTCAAATTTTCCCAAAGCACACTTTTTTTTTTTTCTTCTTCATCATCATCATCACCAATGCATTATTTGCTGCTTAATTGCTATAATTGTTATTAGTTTTATTATTAATTATCATTTCTTATTATAGCTCCATTCATTTTCATTACTTATATTAGTAAAAATTCATTGATTGCTTTTCCAAGAAGTATTAATGATAGCCAACTCTGAATCTTATTCCTTCTTTACATTAATAAAAGCATTATCATTTGTACGACTTATTGCAACTATTATTAATATTAATGTTCACTGCAAGTGTATCTCTATTTCTTGTAATAATTTGGGCGAGAAAATACTTAATTCATAAATATGAGAAAAAATCAGTGGCAATGAAGGATTTGAACCAGGATATTTTTTCTCCACTTTTTTTTATTTTTTAATTTTTTTTTATTATCTATTTCCATTTCTTTATTGTTTTCTTCTCTCTTTGTTGTTTCCTTTGCTTTAATCTTTCCTTTTCTCCCTTTGCCTTTTTCTTCTATTTTTGCCCTTTCCTTTTCTTTATCCTTTTCTTTTCTCTCTTTCCCCTTTCCTTTTCTCTATTCTTTTCTTTCCTCTCTTTGCCCTTTATTTTCTTTATTCTTTCTTTTTCTCTTTGTTCTTTCCTTTCTTTATTTGTGAGTAAGTGAACATAACAAAGCCGACTGGAGCTCTCTGATTTTCAATTCCAATCCATTATCCATTACATCATTTGCACATCCAAGCTTACAACACCTGTTTTTTTCAAGCAGTTGCCCATCTAGATACTGACCAGGCTCAACATTGCTTAACTTCAGTTATCATCCAAATACCCTTGGGACAGTTATAAATCCACTTCTTCTCCCCTCAGCTATGGCCTAATTTGATGGATTTGTGTCAGGTTATCATTATATTCCCACAAATTCTTAGAATCTAAATATATTTTCTGGCTTTAAATAGCCTGCAAAAGGTTGATAAGCAGTAAAAAAACAATCAATCCACAAGCAAAAAATTTTATTATTTATTTGATTGTTTGCATTGAATTTATTTCCTTAATTTTTATTGATAAACAGCAAAAATTAAAAAACTTAGAAAATGTCATTTTAGTACACATGTATCAAAATAGTTTTAAAATTTTAGTATATGCTACCACAGTATTAAACTTGGATTTTGATACTCCTTCTCCCACCGACCTGATGGAGGTCAAAAGAACTCCAAAATTGATGACTTCAATCAGTCAATGACTGTATTAATTGTAGTACTAATTGAGAATTAATCAACCAATCAGTAAATAGCCATATCTTTATTGATATGTTTATTTCTTTCATATTGCTATCATTTGTTCATTATGATTTCTTACAACCATTTACCATATTTTCTGGCTTACAAGACGCACTTTTTTCCTAAAAAATACCCTGACAAATACGTGTGCATCTTCCAAGACAAATGTAATGTCAGTAAGCTTGGACAGTCATCTAAATACCTTGACTGATAGGGACGTGAATTTGTATGGTGAGTCATTACACTATGATGTTAGCTATCTATCTAATTCAGCTTTTATATGATGTAACCACAATACTTAGCTGTTACAAGTATTTTCAAAACAATAAACCTTCCTGAAGCCAAGCCACAAGCTTAAACATGCTCTGTTTACTAGAAGCAGTAGGAACCTTTCTACTCTTCACTAGTATATCATTGTCATACAAACAAAATCGTATGAGTGATTAATGTAAACAATACATGGCACCATGCTGAATGTGTTATTGTATATGAATAATTTTTAGAAATTTTTTTCCAATATTAGGGTGCATCTTCCAAGCCACAGTGTCTTGTAAGCTGGAAAATACGGTACATACTTAATATTGTTTATTATTATTATATTATAGTTCAGCTTGTTCCTCCTTTCCTTAGTTAACACATATGTTACTTTTTACTAATATCTTTATCATATTAATATTTTATTTTTATCATATTTATATTATATTATTATTATAATATTATCTACTTATTCCTTAGTTTGTTAGCACATATGTTACTTCTTACTAATACCGTTACTATCATATTATTATTAGTAGTAGTAGTAGTACTCGAGAATAGGTTGCACTTTTTTCACCAAAATTTCAATAAAAATCAGGGGTGTAACCTATCCACTCAACATGTGGCATATCAGTAGTCCAAGTAAGTACATTGGGCTGCAGTATAAGCAAAAGCAAGGGAGAAAATTAATTTTTCCTGACAGGTAATTGCCTTTTCTAACAGTACCGCATCACACATCAAATAAAAGCGTTCAATCTGCACTGTTCGTATTTACCATTTCTAATTTACGAAGAAAGACTATCATTTTCAAGTGATTTTAGGACTGAAGTGATTACTGGTATCTAAATTTTCATCTGAACAGAGCAGTCCCGCACTCAATACCACACAATTACAACCAATCACTTTTCTTATGTTTTAATATATGTAAGCAAAGATTTGAAATAAAGGTGAATGTTCGAAAATATTTAACAAATATTACGTTATATTTACATTAAAAAAGGGCCATGTAACCCCCTAGATTATATTGCGACCTATCTACAAGTCATCTGCAAATACCACTTTGACAACTCCAAACTAAGGGTGCAACCTATTTACTAGTGCTACCTATATACAAGTATATACAGTAGTTAGAGTATCTGTTACTTCTTGCCAATACCTTTATCATATTATTATTATTATTATTATCATATTATAATTCTGCTTGACCCTTTATTATTATTATTATAATCATATTATAATTCTGCTTGACCCTTTGTTCTTTAGTATATATGTTACTTCCTGTCAATACCTTTATCATATTATTATTATTATTATTATTATTATAATAATACATCATGATTTTGCTTGTTCTTTCGTTAGTTAGCCCATACCTCATAAATAATGGACTATTCCATTTTGATCCAGAGGAAAGATGGAAAAGACATATCAGAGATAGACTGTTTGGTTTCAGTGATAAAAAGAAAGAAAGAATGAAAGAAAGGTGAATGAGGCAATGCTCTCATATGTTCAACAGCTACTTCAGTGAAATGGAAAATCTTGTCAATTTCAAATCTTTTTATTTGTACCCTCTTACTTCTTTAAATAATAATGACCTGCATTTACACTTATGACTGTTACTGCAATATTTTGCTAAAGTTGATGAACTAAAATGTCTAACGATGCACTATGGGAAAATTCCATGGATATTTTATAGCTGTGGAACTTGCAAGAAGCTTACTCAGTCATTGAGAATTAAGATTCCTCAGAAAATTCAAATAGCAAAACCTTGAAATGTTCATGGTTACTAATTATTATTATCATCATCATCATCATCATCATTGTCCCTGCATCCTGCTATTCACCATTATCATCATTTTACAATTGTGTTTCATGTCCTCCAGCTTCATCACTGAAGGTAATGTCTGAAGGCAAAGTCGATGTCGGCCACCAAAGTGATACGTTCATTAAATGCTATTCATGCTGTTTGTTTTCTGCCAATATTTACCATTCTCATCATCGCCATTTGTCTTTTACACTCCTGGCTAATTGATTCTTCTTCTCTCTCTCTCTCTCTTTTTTTCTACCCTCTCCCCCCAAAACCATCGGTACGTTCCCTTTCCTCATCCTCCTTGACTGTGCAACTTCCAATCATTGCTGCAACCTTCACTTCGGTGCGCCCCTGACAGATGGAAATAGTGTCATCAAATCCTCCTTCTCACAGGTGAGATAGCTTTCTTTTTCTTTTTGTTTCTTTTCTTCTTTTCTTTTTTTTTAAAAAAAAAACTCTGAAATTTGTCCTTGCTTGATAGTGTCCTTTATTTATTTTTTTTATTTGTTTTGTAGTTGTTGTTGTTGTTGTAGTTATTACTCCACCCTGAAAAAAAAAATAATAAAAAAAAAAGTTTTAAAAAAAAAAATGTTAAAAAGTTGTTCTCTATAATTGTGTATTTTCCAATTACATAGAATGTGGGGGAGATCTTCCTTCATTGCAACACATCTCTCTGAGCCCCCACCCCCAAATCCTATGCATGAATATATTATGATGGTTTTTGTTTGTTTGTTTTTTTTTTTTTTTTTTTTTTTTTCACATTTTAACTTTGTTTAATTTTTTAAACACTGCTTTATCCATTTTTCTGTTGTAGCTTTCATAGCAAAAAAGAAAGCCTTTTGATTGTTTTTTGCTTTTATTTTTTTTCTTCCATATCTCTACCTTTACCCCTGCCATAATCCACTACGTTTAATGCCATCAGGTCTTTTGGTAATTCTGTTAACTTGTACCTCATTTCTTTGTACGTTGCCTAAAGATATTGACATTTTTTTTTTCTTTTCTTTTTGTCACCAGAAAGCCCAAGAGTCACTTCTGATTGGAAGTTCTTTCACCAATTAAACCTCTAACCCTCTTAAAAATTTCTTTTTCTTTTTTGATCAGTGGGGGGGAGGGTCAGGTGGGAAATAACAAAAAGTTAAATACCTTACCTTCCTTTTTTTTTTTTTTTTTTTTTTTTTCTTTTTTTTTTCTTTCTAAACCTTCTTTGATTCATTTATCTCCTTATTTACTTCCATTTTTAGTGTTTCTCTTTTGGGACTTTTTATTCAGTTCCTTAAGACACTTATTACTCTACTGCATACATGGCCTAAAAGACTTTAACACTATTTATCATAATGTTCTTAAAACATAGATCTTTCTCTCTTTTATCACTACCTCTGCATGTTCTTTTGTGTTTAACATTATTATACATACATATATATACATACATATATATATATATATATATATATATAGTCCCCAGCCTTATTTATTTCCCTGTGATGTAAGGCTCTCTACCCTTGAAGCATTATCTATTTCAATATCTGTTCCCTTATTAGATTGTGTGGATACGCCACATACACCAAAAAGAAAAAGAAAAAGATAAATTGAACTGAAGTTCACATGCCACAACATTGATCTTCCTGCTAATATAATAACCTTATCCCTATTTATATGAACCCCACCCAACAACATTCTTAATTCTACCAACTGTTCCTCCTTCCCTTGCTTGCTAACTCACTCTCTCTCTCTCTCTCTCTCCTTTCTTTTTGTTTTACATTTGCTTTATAAGCATCAGATTTACAAACCTAAAAGTTTCTGTGAAAAATGTAGGTGATATACTTTGACATTAAATAGATAATGCGGGGTGGGGGGATTAAAAGGCACTCGTGAGCTTTACTCATTGGTAGCACCCAAGGTCCCCAGCTCAAAACACCTGAATCCATAAGAAGTTTACCTGAAATTTCCAAGCATACACCAAGGTATTCTGTGTACCACTTATTTAACATGGTCATTAAAAGAATAAGTATCAATTTTTGGGTTCCAGCCTGAAATTTATATGATTGAGATTTCTACATTTTAAGATAAAAAGAAAATCAGAATACAGCTAATGCAACTACCGTATATACTTGTGTATAAGCTTACTTCATATATAGTGTGACCCCTGATTTTTGGGGGTGAAAGCCTGATTTTTTCATATAGCTCATGTACAATACTAGTAGGCCTACCATAGTCAAATATTGCAGTACTGGGCATCGTCCCAGACATATTTTATAGCAAATAAAATGGTCTTAATTCTTTTTTGTACAAAGCTACCATAAAATGGTGAGAAAAACCACTTACCATAAAATATCTAATACTAAAATTTAGATGTTGTACTTTTGTTTTCATTCATGCCTGACTACAGTAGCTCCTTTACCTGGAGGCCTGCATCCTACATAGCCTAAGTTTCTTCCCTTGAGTCTCTACATAAAAAGCAAAACCTCATTCACTATGTATGTCACTTAATATCAACAAATACTTTATATAAATAAAGAATTCATAGGCTTTTTTTCCTATCTGAAATTTACATTCATCTTCATTTCACAAGTGTTTACATCGCTAAGGCATTGCCTTTCCAATGACAACCTTTTTGTCAGAATTACATTAGTGTTCATAGGTACACTATATAACACTATCTATTTTCAAATGTATCTATCTACTGTTCGTATCTATCTGTCTATCTATCATTCAAATGTATCTACTGTTCAAAACTGTTGTAACCTAGGAAGTGTTACTAAATAAGGAATAACCAAAACGGAAGTTGGAAATGAAATGGTAATCTTTATAACATCGACAAAATACAATACTCGCCAGCGTTGTGAAGTAGGTAAACCACTGCTAGTTGTGGACTACTTAGACAGCAGATTACCCCCACTTACAATAATGTCCAACGTATTTATGAGGATTGGAATATACCCATTAGTGTTCATAGGTACAGTATATAACAATATATATATATATATATATATATTCAATACACATATTTCATGATGATGCGTCTTTTTTTTAAGATGCTCCTTGTCTTGATTCTACTCATATTCCAATGGTAATAAATAAGTTCCATTCAGACAGCTTCTTTCCAAGAACTGCTGCTTTGCGAAACATACTCCTAGCAGGATGTTTTCCCAGTCACGACAATCTTGACCCCACTTCCAATCTAGAGTAAACCGTTATCTTTCCTACATAACCTCATTAAATTCACTTCTTTCTGATGCTCATTCAAAACCATGCAGTAATCCTCTATCTTGAGTGGCTCTTGAGCCTTGTATTAGGTTGACATTAGTAAAAAATAAATAAATAAATAAAAATTACTAGATATTATTTTTTAGACCAGAAGAACATGTGCCAGAAAGTGCTCACCAGATAGTAAATGTTAAGTGGACTTTTGAAACTCTTAGTTGGATGATAATCATACATATTTATTCAGTGTAGACATAGATATACAGGAGTGATAGAAAAGTAACTCCCTATTTTATGTACGAGTGGCCATCCAGGAGTCCTGACTTAACACCTTGTGTCTTCTTTGGGGCTGGTTAAAAGAGCAAGTCCACTATACCAAGCCAAGACTTTGGAAGAACTTGAAAGATGAATACAAGAAGTTATGTCTTCCATTCCACAAGAGTTCCTGCTGTAATCAGTTCACGTGATTCCTGAGCAACATAAGAAGCTGGTAGTGAAATCTGGTGCTCATATCAAATTTTGAATAAAACCACATGCTAAACACTTTTCTCTCATATACATTTCTTGTAAAAACTATAGTTAATAAATAAATTATAAATATTTTAAAATGGGGAATTACTTTTTTTAATCACCCTGTATATAATGGTTGGCAACTCATTTCCAAATATGCCCATCTGTCAGTATTGCAGACACCTGCTAGATACATTTGTGTTTGTTCTACGTCCGCAGTGTCAAGTTGACATTGAAGCTCAGCTGTGCAGATTTTAGTTACAGTTTCTGAGAGAAAGTGCATAATCTGTTTGAACAAAGCCAGTATGCTCAAATCCTCACTCACAGTGACTCATAACTTCATGCTAGCACAAACACCAATGCTTCCCGACAGTTTCATCTACCCATTTTTCGTAACAATGCTTGGAGCAACCTGCTGTACAGTTTCCAGGCAGTTCCCCATAGTACCATATGTAGGTATCATCCCTCTTGGCTGATATTATCAAGAAATCACCTTTCACAAATCAATCTTGATGAGATTCAAACTAGGTACTTATGATCAGAATATTAATGTTCTAACCACTTAGCTGTGCACCAAAGTGTGCATATGTGTGTGTGTGCATATATATATATATATATATATGTGTGCACGCACACACACACACACACGCACACACATATATATATCCGGCACAAATTCAAGATTTTCAAGAAGAAAAGGAAAATTTAAAAAACAAGGTGGTGTTTGTTGTTATAATTGTACAAAATTGTTTTTTACATCCTTAGCTCTGTCATATAGGATTTAACTTGTTTATTTAAATCCAGATCCCTTTTAGCAATTCCGGATCCATTCTTTAATAACCAATTTGTATGGTGTGACAGCCCTGTCGATGATAGGCAAACAATTAAAATTACGTTTTTGCTTATATTGATCGTTATTTGACAGAAGTTTGTCAATTGAGGATTATTTTTTTCTACAAGTGAAATCCTGTACAACTGTCTTGAGAAAGTAAAAAATAATTTTGGCGAATTTAACAATTGCATTATCCTCTTCTTCTTCTTCTTCTATTTCCTCTTCTTCTTCTATTTCCTCTTCTTCTTCTATTTCCTCTTCTTCTTCTATTTCCTCTTCATCATGTTCTGCTTTTGCTTCTTCTATTTCCTCTTCATCTGCTTCTTCTTCTTTACTCCCCACCCCGTACTGCAGATCATAGTCCTGTTTTCGGTTTCATAAATCCATACCAGATGTGATCCCCAAAGAATTGTTGAATTCTTCTTGAATTATTGTCTGATACAAGTCTGTATTTTACTGAGGCATTTGAACTTAAAAATGAGAGATAGATACAAATAGAGAGATATAACAAAACTATATATATATATATATATATATATATATATATATAAAACAACAGACTGAAATAGAGATAGATATAAACAAACAGAAATAGATAGAGAGTAGATATAAACAAACAGAAATAGATAGATGTAAAAGAATTGACAAATTTTCATTTATATCCTAGTAATAATGATGCCAAGTATTACACAGTCTAATCACTTTCTGAATCTACTTCCATACACTTTTTTCATATTTGGATATATCCTTAGGGTAGCAGAAGTTTGAATTCAGAGTTTTCCCTCTCAGACTGGCTATCATCACCCAAGGCTGGAGAGCCGAGTCTGCCTTTCTATTTAACCCATAACTTCAGGGAGGACTTTTTTTGAAGAGCATTAGTGACAAGTGAACGAAACAATTTGAACTCTGCTTATTGATTCAAGTTTCCATGCCAGTAACCATTGTACCACACAAACTCATCCTAAATTTATCCCTCTTGAAATCTCGGCTTAAACTTACAAGAAATATATTCTAAGTCTCTCATTACTTTATCTTTACTTCTATAGAAAATGTTCTGCTGGGCTACATTCCTTATTTCCAGCAATTCTAACCTTTACAGCTAAGACTTGTTGTACAACGTACACTGGTATGAATTACCTTCATATTCCATTAGTAGGGAAGAAGTTCCATTTGACCAGATTCTTCCCACAAATCACTACTTTGTGGAACAAATGCCTGAGAGGATGCTTCCCTGATAACAACCTCTTCAAATCTAGGGTTAACCCTTATCTTACCCACATATCCTCATAAACTGCCCTTTTTATGTCTTAGTGGCTTACAGCAATATCATGTTCCTGTACGATCACCAAAGTTAAGCAATGTCAAGCCTGGTCAGTACCTAGATGGGTAACCACTTGAGGATACCAGGTGGTGTAATAGATGACACCTTGGAATTAGAAATCAGAGAGCTGAATTACAATTCCAGTTAGGTTTGTTATATTTACTTATGCACAAATACCTTTGGGGAAGGTATGAATCCATCGTTTCTCCCCCTAGCTATGGGTTAATTTATAAGACATATCACTAAACCATTATTATCTCCCTAAAAAATTCTTTGTAAAAATATTTTCTGGCTTTAAATAACCTGCAGAGGGTTAATAAGCTGTAAAAAATGAATGAATCAATCAAGAATGTTATGAAAACACTGAGTTATGTATTAAAACTTGACATTGTATGGTTGGAGAATGAAGAATTTTCTATATTTATTTATTTTTTTTTTTTTTTTTTTTTTTTTTTTTTTGTAATTAAACTGGTATTTTCATCCTGGAAGAAACATCAAAGAAAATGAAAAATGTGTTAATAATTGTGGATGAATGCAGTAGCAAAAACCAAGATACCAAAAATACCATCGTACTTTTGAAGAAATTTCATGATACCATCATTCTGTTTGAAAATTTGGTATTTTTATAAGAAAATAGATAGATATAAACAGACTGAAGAGAGATAGATGGATATAAACAGAGAGAGAGAGAGAGAGAGAGAGAGATGGATATAAACAGACTGAGAGAGATAGATGGCTGTAAACAGACTTTTATATATATATATATATATAGAGAGAGAGAGAGAGAGAGAGAGAGAGAGAGAGAGATTGTTTTGTATTTTATTTTAGGTTAGGGTCTTCACTTTTATACTCAATTCTTATGTATAAATTTTATTAATTAAACTATTAAAAGAATGATGGGAAATTTCATTGTTAGAGTTCTATAGCTGGCTCAAGTACAAAGACAGAAATTTCTGCCACTGTTAATAGGTTAATATTAAGTTAATTTTAAAAAATATATTTTTTTATGAGACAAAATTCAAAATATTTGTCTTTTGTTTTCCTGTTGAAAGAAGTGGTTGTGATGTAAAAGAACAGAGAAAGCAAATTGGAAGAGTTAATTGTGGGCTAAAGAAACAAAGAATTTATGATATGGAAGAATAAGAAACAAGATGGATGATTGGTGTAAGGAACATTTGGAAGTTCCAAGGATTTGAATATCTTTAAGATGAGGTGTACGTGAATAGGATGAATTGATTGGAAATCAAAAATGATGTTTATAAAGAGTGTTTTTTCTCATAATTTTGTTTCTCTTTCAATTTCTTCTTGTATTTTCTTTTACTCATTTTTCGAGGGAGGGGGAATTTATTTGTTTATTTTTATTGTTCTTTTCTTTTTCCTCCTCCTCCACTTGGCCACTTTCTTCTTCCTCCACCGTCTCTTGGACTTTTTCCCCTCTTGCTTCTCCACATGGTCTTTTCCCTCTCCCACTTTATATTTTCCTCCTCCTTCATCACTTTGTCTTTTTCCTCCCCTTCCTCCACTTGGTCTTTTCTTCCTCCTCTTCCCCCACTTGGTCTTTCTCCTATTCCTCCTTCACTTGATATTTTCCTTTTCCTCCTCCTCTTGGTTTTTTTTCCTCTTCTTCCTTTTGTTTTTTCCCTCCTTCCTCCTCCTCCTGCTCTTTTTCTTCCTCCTCTTGGTCTTTTTTTCACTTTTCCACTTCTTTCTTCCTATAGTCTTCTTTTTCACTCCTACTTCTTTTGGTTTTGCTGCTCTTTCTTCCTCTGATTTCTCCCTCTCTTTTCTTTTGGTCATTTTTCTCTTCTTCATCTTCTTCCTCCTCATTTTCAGCTTGCTTCTCCTCCTACACCTCTCTCTCTCTGGTCTTGTTTCTTTTCCTCTTCCATTTAGTTCTGCCTCCTTTTACTTCTTTCAAAATTTCTCCTCCACTCCTTCCATTTGGTCATACCCTCCTCTTCCTCCTCCTCTTCAGCTTTTTCTTCATTTAATCCTCCCCTTCTTAGTTCCTTTTACTTCTTCTTAATTCCCTGGCATTCTTTTAATTTTCTATCTAAATTTACATACAAGTTTTTGTCTACAAGAACAAGTGAATAGATCCACAGCCTATAAATCGATATGAGTCTGAAATACTCACTGTATAATGTTTTTATCCATATAAATTAAAATTCTCTGCAGAATGAAGGACTTTGAAAAAAAAGGAGATCATGTTGACAAATCAATATTTCACATAGAAAATTATTTCTTTTCTTTACATACCTCAGAGTTTATCAAACTTTTTCTAGCAATAATTTTGCACTTTTAGTTCTATATCTGCAGTTGGAACTTGTGTTTTGTTTTTTTGTTTTTTCTAAAACCAAAACATTTGTTTCAAATTCCTTGACCTGTATTTTCATTTACATCCAAAATTTACTTCTGTAATGACCCCCAAAAAATTCTTATTATTCTATGTGCTGTACCCCTTAAAACTTAAATTCTCCTCCATGGTATTCTCAACATCCTTCTGTAGAACCACATTTCTGTTGCCTCCAGTCTTCTTTTCATCTGTGAGGAAATTGTCCCACATACACTGCCATTTAGAAGGATTGATATTACATAGCATTTCAACACTCTTTTATCTGTTTCTAACAAAATTTTCCTGTTTCTTAATACTTTGCTTAGCTTTTGGAAGGCATTTTTTGCTATTCCAACCTAATTTCAAATTATTCCATTTTCTTTGATATACCAAACCTGTTTCTGACACCACAATGTCCTTTTATTCATAATCCAGATAGAAAGATTATTAAGAATAGATGACAATAAAAAAAAAAAATTACTAAGAAGGCATTGACATTGCATTTAAATTTTTGAAGATCAAAATTGGCTGGAAAGCAAGAAACCAAAAGAGGGTTCCATAATCAAGAAGTGCAATAGAAGAAACTGTTAACTTAGACATTACAGTTATGTCCAGCAATTGCAACTGTAAAATGATGAGACCTAACAACCAATCTAGTACTGTGTTTAAATTTGTAAAGTCGAGATACCAAAGAGTATATATAGCTCATTAGAAAAATTACCATGAAAATATTTATATAAAAACCAAAGGGATTCTACATTAGAGCAGTGGAAAAAGTGACTGAATCCCAGATGCCAGGTCAGGACAAATAACATTGCAGATTCTTCTCTGGATTTTACCAAGAATCTCTGACTATGTAGCAGAAGCACTAAATCAAATGTGATAGCAATATTCAATGCACGGAAGAATGGTAGACTTATAAATGTGTAAGTTAGGTTCTGCTGAATCTATATTATCAGCCCTTCATACAGCACATAAAGATTATAAGGAAACGATAAGTGCTAAAGTATTAATTATACAGATTTTATGTAAATCTCGGCTTCAGAGAGAAACAACTTAGATATTTTATGTGGAAATATTGGCAATCTATGAAGGTTGTTAAGTCTTTGCAGAAATGTATGCATTCTTTTGAGTGCATTCTTGTGGGGGGTGTTTTTTGTTGTTTTTTCAATGGCCATCTGAAAGCTACTTACTTACAATATCAGATGTGCATGCTTTTTCTTCTAATATATTATCTCTTTCAGAATGTTACTTCAAAATATATTGTTCATTTTTTTCGATATTTCGGTAGTGTTTTGCAATAAACAAAATAAAACTTTTTTCATCATTTGTTGAGGATGAAAAAAAAAAACTTGTTTAATAAGATAAGCAGTTTCCATGAAACTAACCGAGATATTTATTTATTTACATAAATTTCTTTTGCGTTAATCTATATTACTTAATTTTTTTCTAAGGGAATTGCAGAAATATGTTTTGTTCAAAATTCTTATGATACTAATTAGAACTAGTACACTTAAGACTATTAGGTCTTATTACTAATGGGTGTAAATGAGCAAGAGAAATAAGATGTAAAAAAGTCGAATCAAAATTAATAATTATGACAATTCTTCCTCTAATAATTTCAGACAACTTGACTATTAGGTCTTATTACTACTGGGTATAAACACGTAAAAGAAACAAGATGAAAGACAAATCAAAAATTAATAATGACAATGCATCAGCTAAGATTCAGACAACTTAAGACTATTACATCTTATTACTACTAGGTGTAAAAAAGCAAGAGAAATAAGATGACACACAAATTAATAAGAATAACAATGCTTCACCTAATAATTTCAGACAACTTCAGATTATTGTCTTTTTACTATTATGTGTAAACAAGAAAGAGAAATGAATACGAATCAAAAATTAATAGTAATGACAATGCTTCAGACTATTATGTCTTATTATAATAGGTGTAAGATTAATAAGATAAGAAAATAAGATTCAAAAATTGATATTGACAATCCTTTATCTAAGAGATTCAGGCAACTTAAGACTGTTACATTTTATTACTATAAGGTGTAAACTAGCAAGAGAAATAAAATGAAAGAATAGTCAAAAATTAATAATGACTTCTGTTAAAGTGCATGCCACTTAGAAGACCGAACTTATTTCTCAACATGGCATTTCTTTCATCGTGTTACCTTGTGAGCATGCAGCAAGTTCTTCCCTTATTTTCAATGCAGACGGAGATGGTGAAGTAGAATGCAGCATGGAGTGATCATTAGTCAATCAGTGTAAACCTGGGGCAGGGTTTACGTTGTATGGTTACACCTGGTCATGGACAGTGGAAAGAGAACAATCTAGCCTTATAGATTAAATAAATGGTTCAGTTTGAAATAAGTTGACAATCGCCTGATGAAGCCTGGAGGGTACAACAGCCAAAAGATTATGATAACAACAAAAAAGATAGGGACATTAGTTGATGTTTATATAGGGAAATTTTTAAAAAAAGAAAAATAATAAATAATAATAATAATAGTAATATAAAATAAGGAAAAAATGAAAAAGATAGGGACATTAGTCCATGTGTAAATGATGTATATGATTGCAATTATGAAAATTTTGTTTTGTAAACCACAAGACTGCAACAAAGTTTTGTCGAGAATAATAATCTAGATGCCTAGATAAATTGAGGCACTTATTGATTCTTATAAGAAATACATGCAAATCATATTAACAAGATTTCCATTTTAGAACACATGCAAATCATATTAATAAGATTCCCACTATAAATCTATGAAACTCCAAATCTGTGTAAATCCAGTTTACCTCTCAGAAGATTAAAGGTTGTTAGAGGTTAAATCCTGCAAGGTCTTTGTTGTTGTGTTTATTCATTTTTTTAAAAATTAATTTATTTCTTTTAAATTTAGTCAACACAGAATTGATCTTTTTATTTTTTTTTTTTTTTTCAAGTATTGTAGACATCATCACATATACTCATGTTGTTTCTTTATAGAAAGAACACATAATTATTTATTTATTTATTTTTTATATATATATATATATATATATATATATATATATATATATATATATATATATATCATCCACAGACTGACTATATTACAGCTCATCAGTGTGGCTAAACACCCAATTGCTTCAAGCCAGGATTGAAACTTGACCAATATTGCATCCATCCCTATCCTAAGTTATTGGCGCACAGCAGAGAAAGGGAATCTTTTAACATATTATAAACATAATATCATAAGTGCTAAACCACCAGCCAGAACAATATATATATATATATATATATATAGTGAAACCTTGGTTTACAAATTGAATTCATTCCTGAAGGCCATTCATAACCTGAAATGTTCGCAAACTAAAACTCTTTTTTCCAGTAGGAATCAATGTAGAGAAAAACAGTTCAATAAAATTAGAATAGGAAAGTATGGCGCAACACATGAATCTATACAATACAATTGTCGACTCAGAAATTATTCTGTTCGTGTTAATTTGGTTTGGATATGTTGTTCAAGAACTGAAATTTTATTTGATAACAAAGGCATTTTCATCTCAAATTTTCTGTTCGAAAACCGATTTGTTTGATATGTAAGATGTTCAAGAACCAAGGATCCTCTGTGCGTGTGTAGGTATTTGTGTGTGTGTGTATGTATCTGTGTGTGTGTGTGTCTCTCTCATTCTCTATATGTGTGTGTGTGTGTGTATATATATATTAACTGATTTAAAAAATGGTTATTTCACTACACAAGGATTACCATGTTTCAAAAACCGAAGCTAAAAACTTCAAATTTAATTATATAATTAAATTAAAAGCATTAGTTCTGTTTCATCTTCAAGCGAATTTTGAAATAACTTATTTTTAAATTTACTGAGTTTTAAACACACATACAATTCATAATTTTTTGTTTCCAAGGATACAGAGAAATCCAATCATTTAGACAGGGGTGGTAGTGTGTTCATTTTTATTAACTATTATTGTATCAATTATGAGTTACGTTCGAAAAAGGTTTTATCTTCGTTTTTTGAAACATGGTAATTCCTGTGTATCAAAGAAACCATATTTTAAATCAGTTAATTTATAATATCTATGCTCTGTAAATTTACATTGAGCATTGTTTTGTAAAATTAAAAAATATCAATAAGAACACTGGATTATATATCTTACTTTTTATTATAATATATATATATATATATATATATATACACACTCATCCTGTGTATGATGATAAACTGCATCTGGCAGCAAGGCCTCTGATCAGGTGATTAGACGCTTTGAGGAGCATGGATCCACCTCTTAACTTCTGTTGTTCCCATGTCCACAATGACCTGGTGTGGTAGCACCTGTTAGGGTCACAGCTATGGGTAAATAGTGAACCCCCAAACAAAAATCAACAGTACATTTTTAATTATATAGAGAGCAACAATACATTTTTATAGCAAAATGACGATCAATGCAATACTAAAAAATATAAAAATACCAACAATACATTTTATGATCTACAAATTATATATCTACAAAAAAAAAAACAATTTTTTTTGCTTTCAGGGTAAAGCTTTGTACAAAATAGCTATAGTTATAAAATTACATACAAAATATTTAGATTTTGGTATTAGAGGTAGATATGCCACTAAGCAAAATCAACCAATCAACTTTCTATTCATATATATATATATATATATAT